ACTAAAGTAAAACTAAGCATTAAAAACGCAATAACTAATAAAAACTAGCAAATCCACTGTAAAAACTAATTAAAACTGAATTAAAAGAAAAAAATTCACAATGAAATAAAACTAAACTATAATGAAAAATCCAAATCTATTATAACCTTGCAAGGAAGGTCAGGTTTAACTGTAGATGGTGACTAAATCTGCAAGTGAAAATAATATACATTTCCAAGTTAGGTTTTGACACTGTTACTGACAGTTAAACACATCCCAGCAGAAAGAAAAATGAGTAAGTCCTCTAAGACCAGAGGACTTACTTGTTTTTCTTTTTGATTTATTACTGACACATCCCCAGCAGACTCACCCATCCTCCCTGGCTCTCAATCCACGGACTGAGCTGCTCATCCAGGTAGACGGTCATCCAGTCCACGATGCGCGACACCAGCTCGCTCATATCCCTCTCCACGCACTGCACGCACAGCACGCCGCCGAAGGCGAACAGGGCCACCACGCGCCCCCAGTTGACCCCGTCCTTGAACAGCTCGTCCAACACGCTCTTGAAGCTGTGGTAAACGGTGTCGGGGTTGACGTCGAGCTGCAGCGACAGGTGACTGAAGCTCCGCGTGTAGAGAAGTTCAAACTCGTCTGCCGAGTCCTTCAGGGCAGATTTCACAGCCTCGATGTCACCGCGGGGCGGCCAGGACTTCCCCGGTGGTCGGTCCCTGCTGCTGACCAGCAGCCCGTTCCTGGCGGCTGAGCTGATCTTCTCAGTCCTATCACCAGCATCCTCTGGCCTCAGCAGAGACTTTGAACAGTTCCTCTGAGACAACTTATAGCTTATGTAGAACTCCACCAGCTCCCTGTTGCTGTACGACATCATTTACACGCTGAACCATCAACACGCAGCCGACCTACTCCGATATCATGTTTAATGCCGTTCTTCAGTCCGTCACAGGGGATCATCTGATGCTGCAGCCTGCAACAGCAACCAGAAACAGGATGTTATTGTGACATGCGTTTTTAAAGCCAACATTCAGAAACATATCTGCATTAAAACATCTGTCACTAAACAAAAATAAACAACTGTGTGTGTATTAGGGGTGTAAGAAAATATCGATACACTGAAATATCGTGATATTTCTTTCCCGATACTGTATCGATATTCTAAAGCCCTGTATCGATTTTTTTTATTAAGATTTAAAATGTCAACTTT